ATGAGATTGCAAGCCCCACAAACCAAGGCTTTCACCAACAACGCTCTGGAGAGCCACGAGAACACTGGCTTAGAGATGAATCAAGCCTCCCGGGGAGAGAGACAGCTTCCTACGTGTTTGTGCAGAGCAGAAGGGAAGAGGCGCATGCAAGCAGCCGCTAAGAAAGCAGCATGGCTGCTCCCTGCCAGTTACTCAAGGGAAGTTGCCCAACCGCCATCCCCCCCCGCCTCCTCCATTCAGAGCAACCACCGCTAGCTTCAGATCCTGCCCTTGTCTTTAAAGGAACCGCCACCCATAGATTTGCAGCGGGGCGGGAGGGGCCTCCCATGGGCTGGGAGGACATCGCTTTGCATTATTCTCCTGCTGAAAACTCCAGCAAAGGGAGTAACTGGGAAACTGTGCTTTTCAGCATCTGGAGCAGCAGGTATTTTAAAAACTTCTAACCACCTCCATGATATAAGCTCCCAATCTGACCAATGCCACTTATCCATCCCCAGTTAGCACATCTAACAAACCCATCCTGGTCTGTTGTGTCCTTTATAAACTAAGTCTGTACACCCACCTCCCGTGGCTTATAAATCCTTATTTGGAATCAACAAACCAGGATGCTGGGGTTTCTCTTTGATTGGCTTAAATGCTTGCCCGGGGGAAGGAGCCACGTGGGAACAAACAGGCCCCCATTAAGCCAGGATCTGTTGCAATCTTGGCTTACTGCTCTGCAACTGGGGCCACTGAAATACCACCACACACTGAATGCAATACAAACACAGGAAGCCCCCATCATTCCAAATTAGGATGTTTGGTCCATCTAGAGGTCAGTGAGGTCTCCAAGGTCTGAGGCATCGGCCCCACCCTGGGAGTGAGCAAAGCCTCACCCTCCTCGGGGGCCTTCTCTCTTTTTTTGGATTAAAAAAAACGCCAAACAAACCACAACAGAAAGAACTGCTCCTCTTTCCCAGACATGGATTCCAACTTTTTACTATTGATACACTTCTCTTTCCTCCCCCAATCCATTTAATAATATAATAATTAGGGGCTGCTGAGTTGATGCTGACTGATGGCAACCCCTTTTCGGGGTCTTCTAGCAAGGAGTACTCGGAAGTGGGGGGGGGCCTTCCTGTCTTCTGGGGCCACAAACCCATCCTGGTCTGGTTGT